ATGAGAATCAAATTAAGAGCACTGTAGAGGGCCGAAAACTACCAGAAAACACAAAGGTCTCTGTGCTCAGCAGACTCTCACGCTCCTTACCTCACCAGGGGACAGTAAATGCATTTCTTAAGGAGGTTCTATGTTCCCAGATGTTGAAGCTGGATTAATTGTGAATGCTAACCTCCTTCCCTTTCTACTCTGGGTCATTCTTTACCGGCTTCTCATAACACTCCTTCAATGTGATTTTTGTTAGACAAACGGTTTCATGTTTCTGGGAATGGGAAATGGATAACATGAACACACAGTCATGTCCCTCCAGACTGGGGCTGATTTACGCTCTGATCCTCACCCTTGAAGGCAAGGTAGTCCGCTGGCCGGCCATCTGCTACTTCTGCGGTAGTGGTCTGACTCTCCACTGTCAGCATTCCCACCATAAACTTCTGTTTTCAGAGGTTTACAACTTGGCTGTAAAATGTTGCCTCTGGGTGGGGGTGGGGTGGATCTTACAAAATTGTTTTAGGTTACAAGAGAGAGAGAAAAAAAAAGCACGTAAAAAATAAAATAAAATGTCTGTAATTTCAGACACTATCTAGTGCTGCTGGAACTTTGAAGAGCTTGTTAATAGTGCTGTTTGTGCACCCTGGCTTTCATATCAATGCTTTGGAGCTAGTGTTTTAAATATAAAATGGAGATATTACCTTCTTTCTTTGGAGATTTACTTATTTATGCATACAAAAACTGCGATCTAGGCCAGAGGTGTACGTGTTGGAGTGGGGCGGGGGTGGGGCATGGTGGCTGAGAGGAGTCACCAGAGACAGTGGGGAGCACAACAGTCAGATCTACTGAAATATACTGCTGAGGGGAGCAGCGGGCAAGACTGGAGAGGTCTGCTGCACCAAGTGGGTCACTCCCTGGCCAGGGATCAAATTCGTATCACAGTAGCTGGCAACAGTTTCATAATGCTGTGTCTCTAACCCTTCGCCACCAGAGAGACTCACTATCTTTATTATGAAGATATGTTTTTCAAAGAAAATCAATATATACCTTGCAAGTCAAGTAAAAATAGTGGGTTTCCTTTCTAGTTGAAGGAATTTTAAGATCTTTTGCATGATATATATATATATATATATACACACACACACATATATATATATAGTCTATGACATATAAATATATATATTGTTTGTGATACATTGATATTTCAGAGGATGAAATAATTAACAAATCATAATTAATTTGTAATAATGCTACTGAAGTGTCCTCTAATATTCTATGATATCCATTTCAGAATTAGCATATTATTATTCAATGATATTTCCTGCATTTCATTCCAGTTAAAATCAAACAAAGAACCAAACAAAAATCTTGAAGTTTTTCATTAATTCATCATCAATGTTTACTGAAGGTCAATTATGCATCAGATGTCAGGCCAAGTGCTGGAATACATGTGACGACCTTTGAGGAAGACAGAGGGAGACAGACCACTCACCCAGGGACACTGTGGTTAGAATCTTGAAAAGCAGACTTTGAGGGCTGGCTACTGCCCATGGCATCCATTGCAAGGACTCATTCACTGCTCACATTAACTTTGTATTGAAAGAATTGAGAAAATAGTGGCTCAGATTATGAGCCACTATTGCATATGAATTAGCAGTCACATTCCATTTTGTGCTTAAAAGGGAACTTGAATGAAAAAATGAGGATAATGTGTTAGAAAGAGGAAAACTTGTGTGAGCAAGTGTTAATTTGTGAATGATCAAGTTAGCAAAGGCAATCGTCATAGCTGTTTGAGCAAATGCAGAGCAAATGTTAAAAGTGTGAGGAAGTCAAACTTTGGGTAGAGCTACTTACATATGGAAGAGCTAAAATTACTTTCTCACTCCATTAAATTAGGCAAATCATGTGGGATCCTATTCCCTGGAATTTCAGGTCTGAGATACATGGAGGATGAAATACTTGCTCCATGTCAGTTTCTTGGCTTCTTATAAAAGAGAGTCAGATTCCTATTTTCTTTTGATTTCTTAGGCATAAGAAATCATTGGCTTGACTTGAACCTCTGTTTTCCTTTCAATCCACATGTCACTTTCTGAAATTGGAAAATCCATGATTTAAAGTACAGAGACCTACGTTTCAGTATTGGAATGTGACTGTTAATTCATATGCAAAGCTCCAAGTCTTAAAAGACCATTGCTTGGCTTTTAGTCATTCTTGAACTGCATAGAAAGGTACTAGATAGTCCCACACTCGTGAGGGTATCCACTCACCACTAGAAAATGAAAATTTGACTTAAGGAATTTGATAATCAAGTGGATAAAGACAAAAAGTAAATGCATTATGATTCTGATGTATTTTATAAAACCATTTTTGCTAGGCGCTGCAGCAAGAGCACTTAAGTTTGTCTGAAGGCTGGAGTTCAGTGAAAGTTTTTTTGAAGAAAGGATGCTTAAACCAATATCTAGGGATGAGTAGGCAGAAGGCAGAGAAACACTCACAGAAAGTTGTTAAGGACCAGTCTCTCCCTGGTGGCAGGACAGGTTAACATAAAGCACTGCACTACAAAGCTAGCAACAGCCTCTGCAGCACTGGTTGACTCCCCAGCCAGGGAGGTGACCCACATGGCACGTCAGACTTCTCTTTTCTCTCATACTGCTTCCCTCAGCAGTGCACTTTATCAATCTTCCTGCTCTGCTCACCACTCTGTCTCTGGAGAATCCTCTCACCCGCTGCTCTGCTGGCCTGTACCCCAGTTCTGCATGCATCAATAAATAAATCTTTAAAAATAAAGTTGTAAGAGTCAAGAAGGGCAGTTGCGCCCTGGACATGAGGCAGAAAGACAACAAAGAAAATGAGGCATATTGACACAATGAGGTCATGGGCACTGCAGCAGAGGTCAAGGTTAGTTCACACAATCACTCAGGCCATGCAGAAGTGATAGAAGTGGACTGCTGACATGATCAGATTTGCATTTCCAAAGAACCACTTGTGACTTCTTTATGTAAAATGCATTGAAAAAGGGAAATGCGATACTCAGAGTAGATATAGAATGCTAGTCAAAAATTTGCTTCTTTCTTCAATTCCTAAAGATAATCACTTTTGTAGGACTCCCTCGAGTTTATTTTTGCCTCCCACAGTTTGCATTATTTGGCTCTGCATTTTAATATGCTTCACTTTAAGCAAACACAAAATATATAGATAACTTCTATGTAAAAAAAAAAAAATTGAAAAATAAGAATGAGTGGCCCAGTCTATGAGTCAGAAATTACTGCCCCCAAATTTACATGTTGAAGTCTTCATCATCAATACCTCAGACTGTGACTATCTTGAAGACTGAGGTAATTCAATTATTATGGCAACACCATGGGTGGCCCTTTGAATAATCTACCTAATGTCCTGATAAGAGGAGGGGATTAGGACACAGGCAAGGCACAAAACAAGGATTAACCAAAACTAAGGCACCAGGATCTTCCACTACCAATCTCTAGATTGTGAAAGGTTACATATCGGCGGGTTCAGTTACCAGTATGCTATAATCTGTATGGTTGCCCTAGCAAAATAAAATATTTTGTACTAAATCCTTTTGCTTGAAATAATCATCATAAATTGTCTTAGAAAATGCTTTCTGTTGATCAATTCGAAAGATGTTTATTTCTCAGTGCAAATGCAGTGGAAGCTACTTTGTTAGAGAAAGTATTGAGAATGGGGGCTAGAGGTGGGTGAAGAAACAAAATTAGCACAGGCTGTGTGGACAGAAGCATGGCCATCGTTGTAGTGACCTCCCCTCCTGGTCAGACTTCTGAGAGCAGGTTGTTTACTCTCCAAAAAATGGCAGCTTTGGTCAAATTCAGAGCTCCGGGTGGTATGCTGAGCTCTGCCTTGACCATAGAACTCAATAGTTAGTAGTCTTCTGTGAACCTGAATGTCTCATGCACACATACAAGTCAGGAAGAGGATTTTCATTCAGTTTATTGCTCTTCAGTCATCAGCCATGAGTTTTACATGAGCCTCACAGTCTGTTCTTGTGGGACATTGTTAAGAAAGTGGTCCATGAGCTCTAGGATATTTATAGAAACCAGCTAACATTCACATTACAATGTGGCCCTTTCAAAGTAGGTTGACAAAAGTTGGTGTGGGATGGTTATCAGGTGGTGGCAGGAGTTCTCATTAGCGGACAAGCCTGACCACGTAGGGCAGACTTCCGGAGGACGCTGATAGCCATCGTTCAGGCATGTTGAGTCAGCTGGACACACGCAAATGTATCCGGCATGGAGACACAGCCTTAAATTTTCTTCTTGTCACTGAGCAGTTTCTTTGTCTCTGTGGTTTCTTTAGCTTTGTTTTTTCATGAAAGCACAGCAGGTACAACTATTTTAACTCCACTCCTGGCTGCTTTCCTCTTTTGTAAACATTCTCTTAAAGTTAAAATGAAAACTACCCTTCATTTTCTGACAATGGATAAAAGTGCCACTCTCCTTTTTCTGCTTTGAGTAAAACATGGAAAACGCACAGCTGGGGCCTCTCATATGCAAATATATCCTTGACCTCCTGTTACATTTCCGGATTCCTTGGGATTCCCCAACAATTCCAGCTTCTCCAAATTGTCCTCTCTTCCAACAGAGAAATTCTACTATCTTGCACCTTGGAAAATCACTGCAAAACATTTGTATGTTTTATTCGCCACATGGGCTCTTTGGGATGTGGGGCATTTGTTATCCCTGGCAGAAACTGGCATCCCCTGTCTTTGATCTACAGGCACAGAAAGGACTGAGAACTTATCTGTATGAGCATATCATTGTGACTCAACACACATGTACATGTTTCCTGTATATATTTTAGTAAACCTATCATATTCATAATTGCATTGGGATTCTTTGGCTTGAGGGAAAGATACAGATAATGAGTTCAATATGCTGCATCTTTTTATTTTTTATTCTGCTGCCCCATGGGCCCTAGTGCTACACAGGCATTAGAATTAATATGGCTAGAGAAAGAAAGGCAAACTAGTGTTTTACCTGGCAAAGCCAACCCCTCTGCTGACGCCATTGGCATCTCTTAGTATTCTTGTGGAAATGACGTGTCCGAAAGGTTTCAGCATATTCTCAAGTTCCTGTTCATCCATAGAAATGGGGAGATTCGAGATGTATAGGTTTGTTGGATCTTGCTCTTGTTGCTAAAGGAAAGAAACAAATGTTGTGAGTTTTGAATACTGAAATATTTATGACAAAATGGATAAACTTTTGCTTTAAGATGCAATCTAGATTCCAATCTCTTGGAAGTGTGTGTTCAGTCGTGAACATTCTTTTACAAAGGGCATTTCTTACTTTTTTCTAAGAATTCACTTCTGGCACAAAATAATTCTCATAAAAGTAATGTTATCGATGGAGAGCAAACTGTTCAGTTTTCCTCAGAGAGAACTAGTCAACAGTCACTGCAATTGAACTAAGGTAAATGCATGTTATTCTCTTTTACCATGAAATCTTCTCCTATTTTCATTCAAACTACCATCACCTCTAGATTTTTTAATGTTGTACTTCATGAGTTCTGTGAGGTAACAATGTTCTGAGCACTTAAAATGCACTATTTCATTCCACAGTCTTCATCAATATAATTGCTGCCATTTTACAGTTCACAAAATTGATCCCCAACTTGTTCAAGAACACAGATCATATCAAAGCCAGGGCTGAAATCTGGGCCTTTTGCCAGAGCTTCTGGGTCTCACTGATCTGCTATACTACTCTCTGCTAGGCCACTGGTTTATAAAGAGTGGTCCCAGAATAGCAACATCAGTTTCACATTCTTGGGGACCTGCTAATTCTCAGGTCTATTCCAGAAATACTAAATTAGGAGCTCAGAGGGGTGAAGACTGCTGTGTTTTGATAAGCGCCAGGTGATTTTGTTGATTGTTCAGCTTTGGGAATCACTGTCCTAGACCATACATGAACATACACGTAGGACTCATACGAATGAGATTATGATGTCTGTTGTTTTCTACACCGATAGCAATTCTTAAATAAACTTTGCTTAATAGAATGGGAAACCAAGCCACAATTGCTAGCCATATTTTTGTGTATGAATTTTCTCTATTTCACTCAAGTAAATAAGTTTGAACTTAGTTATAAATACTTGTCAAAATTAAACATCCATAAATCTGACATGATTAATCATGCACATCAAAATATATCATTTACCTGAATCATTATACTTTAACCAAAACAACATCCTTCAAGGATAAGAAATTAAATTGGACAAAGAAATTCGAATAGAAAATGATAATGTAACAGTAAATTATCTTTTGTGAAGATACGATATCAGCTTCTACAGAAAATTTGAGTTTTTTAACACAATGAGTATATATAATAAGCAAGTACTAAATATTATTTCAGGTGAAGTAACACTTTTGGTATGTAACTGATCTCCATTATTTTAAACAGCTTAAATATTCATGCAGGTCATAATATTTTTATTAAGCTTTGATATGACCAAGATCTATTATTAGAGTCTTCATATTTTAAACATAGTTTAGTTTTTAAGTACTTTTTATTGTCATGAAAAATAGCAAAAGTAAACATAATCTATCAGAAACCACCAATATGCCTTTAGAATTTAAGAAGAGTGGAATGTAGAAACTGTAAACTACAATCTCTCCCCCTCTTCCTTCCTCTCATCCTCTGTCTTACACACACACACACACATACTGACACTCACGAAGCACTAATAAATGCCATGATCCTTGAGAGAAACAGAAAATATTTTCCTTTCTTAAATGGCCACATTTATGTTCACTTGCTGGAATCATGGAAAACAAGAAAAATGATGTTTCAAATACATAATGAACCATATGTACACACAACTTTCAATTTTTATAGTATTTCACTACTCATTTAATTTTAGTCATCATATCTTCACTTCATATGTGGCAAATATCATTCTATTTATTAGATAATGAGGAAATGGAGGCATGAAAACTTTATCATCTTTCCCAAAGGCAATCTGATAATTAGTGAAAGGGTTAGAATCAGCTTTAACTACCTCATCTTTGACTTTCGAGTTTGGTGCATCTTCCACAAGCCCAGTGCTTCCCAACTTCTAATTATCTGTACGTCATCTTAGCACATTTTGCCAGTTTGGGGCTATCATTTTATTTATTTCCAGGTTTTCTTTTTATAAATATACTTTGGGATTAAGGGCATTCATTTAAAAAGATAACTTTAGATTGCATTATAAATTAAAAGGCATTATCATTTAGCATAATTAGGTTACTGTAAAATACAAGGGTGAGTTAATGTTATAAAATATAGCTAGATATTATGCGCAGAAGACTTTGAACTTTGTGTTTGATTCTCTTACTGATGACAGAGATTCATAATTAAGAAAGGCTTAGATATGTCACAGGTTGTCTTTTCTCTGGGAAGAATCAGAATTGAAAAACAATTAAGAACAGTTTTCTTGCAATGAGAGCCTAAATACCTTCATCTACTCCAGTTCTTCAAAGATACATGTCCCACAGCATTGAAATCCTGTGCTAACTCAGAGCATTCCAGCAAGGAGACTACAGCACTGTCCCATGAGTGGACTGAAACTGACCCAACATTTTGTACCCTCTGTCCTTGATCAGGCTAAATAACCATAAGAAGCCAAGCTTACTACCCAGGGCACTACACAAATCTTTCCATTTTTTCCCCAGGCAGCGGTGTACCAGTTTATTCTAATTCAAGCATATTTCCAAATCCCCCAATTGTGAATGTGGTACAGCTTCTTAAAATTGTGTGCAATAAACACACAGAGCTTAGAGCATGAGGGATTGCTCAGCAAACTATTTGCTGAATCCAATTCAGACAGCAAGGCCAACTCCTTAATTTGTATTCACAAAGACAATACAGCTTTGGATGGTATTATTTCTTAATTTGTGTTCATAGAATATATTGTTGGGCAGTGTTATTTACTGTTATTTATTTGAAAGTCAGTGTCACATTCAATAGATATATGCACTTGCCAATCGACTTTCAATCCTGCATATAATGAACCTTAAAATAACATGCACATTTTTACTTAAAATATTATTTACATATTTAGTTTATGTAAATGGATGGTCACTTTGAAGGTTCTTTGGCACTATGAACCAAAGACCATTTTTCCTTTAAAGTGGCAGAGAAAAAAATCTCATATGACAACTGAAGTCTTAAAGAAGGTTTTAGAAATACTTTTTAACTTAAATTTCATGACCAGCTAGCTCCAGAATGGACATAAAGGGACCTCTTGTCCAATGTAATAATTTAACAGATGGAAAAAGTCCCAGAAGCTAGGAGAAGTGGTTATGACTTACTCAAGGTCACTAAGCTAATTAGTAACAGACTAAAAACAGAAACCATATCCTTTAATATCTAATATAGTACAATGTTCTTAATGCACTATATCACTGTCAATCTTAAAATCTAACAAACAACACAAAGCAGGTTGCAATTCAAGGTAGCATTAGAACGAACATACATATCTCAATTTCTTATTTGATTCACTTTTGCTTAATCATAAAATAGCTTTTACTGTAGTGCTGATGTGTTTGTAAAAGTATAACTACAATTTATGTATCTATTATATCTAGAACAGGATCTTCTTGATTTATTATTTCTTTTTGTTAAAATATTTACTTAGTGTAAAAGAATTGGGGCATAGGTCAGAGGTATGGGGGAGTGAAAGGATCCACAAGAGTCAAAGTAGGGAGCAGAACAGGTGGATCTACTGAAATATACTGCTGAGAGGAGCAGCTGATGAGACCAGAGAGATCTGTGCACCATTTGTGGGTTAGTTCTCTAGCTGGGGATTGAACTTAGGCCATAGCGGTGATATTTGTGAGACTTAACCACTAGGCCACGAAGGAGGCCCCCACTTTCCATTATTAATGGGAGGAGTAACCTATCATTTCACTGAAGAATTTGTAAAAAATGTGTTTCTTAAAATGACCTCCCTTTGCTTGGATTTTTTTGTACATGGAAACTGCCAACATAAAATTTATTGCACAAATTCATCTTTTTTTTTTTTAAAGATTTATTTATTTGTGCATACATAACTGGGCTACAGGCCAGAGGCTCAGGGGTGGCGAGAGGCTTAACCAGAGACAGAGTGGGGAGCAGAACAGGCAGATGGACGAAGTACACTGCTGAGGGGAGCAGCGGGCGGGTCAGGAGAGGTCTGCCACGCCATGTGGTCACCTCCGGGGCAGGGGGGAATCGAACTCATGTGGAAGTGGCTTTAGCTTCTCAGTGCTGTGCTTTAACCGGCTGCACCACCAGGGAGGGCCACAAATTCATCTTTTAAGTTGAAAATAAATTCAAAACTTTAGAACATTTCAGTGTGGAAAATGAACCCAATTTGAAGACCAACATTATTGTCCCAATCTGCACCAAACGTGACATCCACACCTGCATTTGTGTGTGTGTGTGTGTGTGAAAAGTTCACAAACACAATTCTGAAAAAGTGGATAGAGCAAGATTTCAAAACCTAATAAAATAACATTCAAACTTAGCTAACTCATTTAAACATGCAGACAGTAGCTAATAGCATTGGAGAATTTAATTTTTGGTTGAAGCCATAATTGGGTTGCGTTATGGGATATTCATTTTTATTTTTTTGTTATTTTTTTAAAGATTTATTTATTTGTGCATACAGAACTGGGGTACAGGCCAGAAGCTCAGGGGCGGCGAGAGGCTTCACCAGAGACAGAGTGGGGAACAGAACAGGCAGATCGACGAAGTACACTGCTGAGGGGAGCAGCGGGAGGGTCAGGAGAGGTCTGCCACTGCCATGTGGTCACCTCCGGGGCAGGGGGGAATTGAACTCATGTGGAAGTGGCTTTAGCTTCTCAGTGCTGTGCTTTAACCCGCTGTGCCACCAGGGAGGGCCCATTATTTTTTATTTTTATCCCACCCTGAGGTATCCACTGAACTCTTCCACTTTATTTCGCCATCCCCATCCTCTTCCCTTGCAGTAATCTCAATTCAGATACCAATGTCCATTAGTTTATTTTGATTTTGATTTATCTTTCATCTGCATTACTTTCTTATATTGCATGTGTAGGTGAAATTTCACTAATTTTGTTTTGTGTGATCCCCTTGAGTTATTTCCAAATGACAAACTTCCATTTTTTTCTAATAGCTGAATAGGAGTCCATTGGGT